GTCTTGTTGGAGGAAGTGTGTGATTGCAAGTAAGCTTTGAGAGTTTAAGAATGCACGTCATTTTGAGTTCCTTCTTTCTGCTGCCTGCTTGTGATTCAAGACACAAGTCTCTGACTGCTTCTTCTGCCCCCATGCTACCATGTTTCCCTGATGTGATGGGCTTTTATCCCTCTGGAACCATATAATCCCAAATAGACTCTTCCTTCTAGAAGTTGCCTTGGTCATGGTGTTTTATCACAGTAATAGAAAAGTAATACACCTGATGTTTGAGCCCCTGAACTGACAGAGGAAAAGAGAAAACTAACTCTCTTCCCCCACCCCCAGAAAGCTGTTCTTGGACTCCCATGTGCACACCATAGCACACACATGCATGCACTCAAGTGTACATGCACATAAATAAATACAGAGGGGGATTACCAACAACAAAACACTCTGGGAAAAACAAAAACAAAATGTGGTCCAGGAGACCTTCCAGAAGCAGCCTCTGAGAATTATGATAAAAGTCGATGTCACTGTTCCTGGCAGAGGGGGGCTCCTATGGAAGGTGATCTGGCTGGGCTCCTCTTGGAGAAAGAGACTGTGCCTCTAGTACCAGAGTTTCCTTGGAGGATAACTAAGGTGAGCAGAGATGTGCTCTGTCAGCACGCTGTCCTCACTTTGTGACCCAAATCTTCTCAGAAGCCTAGAGTTTAATGAAAGTTTTGCTGTTCAGAAAGCAAGACGAAGAGTGACAACATCTGGGAGGTGAGGTTGAAGGACAGAGAGTTGGAGGGAGATACATGGCAAGATCTGCCTCAAAAACAACAAAATCTAATTAAAGTATTCATGTAACCAAGCATGGTGGAGGCAAAGGCAAGAGAATCTGTGTTGATAGAAGCTTCTGTCCTGCCCAGTCCTGCAGCCATTCAGTCCCAAAGAAACACACAGAGAGGTTTATTAATCATAAACTGTTTGACATATTAGCTCAGGCTTATTATTAACTAGCTCTTACAATTTAAATTAACCCATAATTATCTATGTTTAGCCATGTGGCTTAGTACTTTTTCTCAGTGAGGCATTCTTATCCTGCTTCCTCTGCATCTAGCTGGTGACTATGTCTCTGCCTTTCCTCTTCCCAGAGTTCTTTTAGTCTGGTTGTCCCACTGATCCTTCCTGTTTGACTACTGGCCAACCAGTACTTTATTAAACTAATACACGTTACAAGTCTTTACAGTATACAAGAGCTTTATCCTACAGCAAATCTGTATAAATTTCCTGGCCAGTCAGGAATAGATTGTGAGAAAAAAAGAAAAAAAATAGCATTCGAATGCCTTCCTCATCATGTCATGGTTAAAATAACATGTTTCTGAAACCAGGGCCAAGTGAGATGGCTCAGTGGGGACAGGTGTTTGTCACCAAGACAGATAGCCTGAGCTGGATCCCTGAGATCCACATAGTGGAAGGAGGTGATTGTAAGATGTCCTGGCATCCACTGTCTTAGTTAGGGTTTCCACTGCTGCTTTCCTGACTTCCACACGTAAGTTGTCTTAGTTAGGGTTTCTTTTGCTTCAAAGAGACACCATCATCATAGCAACTTTTATAAAAATTGAGGTGGCAGCTTACAGTTCAGAGCTTATATTCCCATCTTATATTCCTCTCTAATTCTGGGACTAAGGGTGTGCACCTCTGCTGCCTGGTTTCTGTGGCAAGGTAGTGGCTACTGGGATTAAAGGTGTGCGTCATTGCTGCCTTGTTTGTAAAGCTGGCCAGTGTGGCTGTTTTCTGATCTTCAGGAAAGCTTTATTTATTAAAATACAAATGAAATGCCACTACAAAAGGTTTGAGTTTCTTCCTTTTCACAGCTACAGAAGTTTCCTTTTTAACTGATTGGTTAACAGTGCCCTCCTGTGTCTGCATCTTTCTATTATGAACATTTCAAAACAGGCTTACAATTAAAATCATTTAACAGAAGGAATTTAAATATCATTTAAAAATGAACATGACCTGCCTGCTGAATCTTATCTTAAGTGCATTTTTAAAAACCAAAAATTTGACAGTTAACCGGATGGCAGAGGCTAATGAAAATCCACACCCTGTCTAATGTGCAAAGCACTGTCTGGTACAACAGAACTTTTAGAAATGATACAGTCTTTACCGACTAATAATGAACAGCTAGCTGACAGGACTAATACCACCAAAATTCAAGTTATCTGAAAAAATTAATACTACCGAAAAGAATAACATTAATTTGACAGGCAAAATTCAATCCATGTCAGAGGGTACTGAGAAATTATCTGAAAGAAGTCACACTCTGGAATTTGACAACCAAAGTCTGTTAAAGTTATGATAGGTTAGCACAGATAGAGGATCTCTCTAGGAACCTCAATGAAATCTCTAGAAATACATACAGGTCAAGAGATTCATGCTTTACAAAAGATTTAGTAAAAAAGATTTGAAAAACTTGAGGAAATTATTGGAGCTGATGAGCAGGGAAAGAAGGTACAAGGACAGGATTCAACATCACCAGTACCTGTCACAGTCAGAAATGACTAATGCAGGGTTTTAGCTTCCTATTCTGTAATCAACTTTGAAAAAGCATCAAGTTCTAAATGTCCAAAAGGATCCAAAGAATGTAGATGGATACCTATAGGTATAAAAGATCTGAAAGACATTAGCAAGCAGTAGTATCTTATGGCTTGCATTCCACATTTGTTAGGGAAATGGTAAAGACGTGGGCTTCCAGCAATAAAGAAACCCCACACGATTGGCTTCAATTAGTTTCAGTGGTCCTCAAAGATGGGCCAAATCTACTGTGGAAATGCTATTAGCAAGAAGAGGCAAAAAATTTAAAACAACAGGGAAAAACAAAAGGACTTGAGGCTTCCCAAAATCAAATTCCTGGTGAAGGCAATTATGCTGACCACAGGCTCAAGTTCTTTACAATGAACAAATCATCTTGTCTCTATGCCGCAAAGCAGCCTTAAATGCTTGGGACAGGATTCAAGAACTAGAAAAACATATTGAATCATATACCAGGGTTAAACAGGGCCAGAGAGAACCCTTTAGTGACTTTTTACAAATTTTAACTAAGACTGAACAAATAGGAGTAACAGACCCAGAAGCTAGTAAAGTACTTATAGAATCTCTGGCTTTTGAAAATGCCAACTTAGAACGCAAAAAGATACTTGTGCCTTTAAAGGTTAGATCAGCACCAATGGATGAACAGATCCTGTATACAATGAACATTGAGACTTGTGACTGTAATATTGAGTCCTGGGTAGGAGAAGCAATTTCCAAAGGTATGAGGAGACATCAAAATGCCGAGAAGCAACTCTACAAACCCGTCAGAATCCCAGCCTCTTGACTGCTTCTCTTTTGATCAATTAACAGCTGTCTACTAGAATAATAGTCACGACTCATATATATATATATGTATATATATATATATATTCAGTTATTCTTACCCTCAGATGTCCTCATAACAAAACCATAAGATACTATTCTCTACATTGGTGGAACTGTTTTGGTAATAGTATAGTGTTTGACACAGAAAGGTGCAAACACGATAAAAAATGCTTTTATTCCTTTGTTCAGTTACAGTGAGTGTGTGTGTGTGTGTGTGAGAGAGAGAGAGAGAGAGAGAGAGAGAGAGAGAGAGAGAGAGAGAGAGAGAGAGGACACTTTTGTGGGAGCTCTCTCTCCTCTTCGGTGAGTCCTAGGGATGATCTTGAACTTCGGCTGTCAGACTTGCTTGCAGGTGCCTTCACCCACTGAGCTGGCCACCACTCCTCCTTTAAGGACAGGGTCACTCTTATCCCAGGTTGGCCTTAAATTCATAGCAATCTTTCTATATTAGCTTCCTAACTGCTGGTATCACAGGTGTATGCTGTCACTCACAGCTTAAACACACCATTAATATAATAAACTAGGTATGATAGCGCACACTTCAATCCTGGCACTTGGGAGGCAGAGGCAGGTGGATTTCTGTTCAAGGCTAGCCTCATCTACAGAGCGAGTTCAAGGTAGCAGCCAGGGCTACATAGAGCAACTCTGTCTCAAAAAATAAACAAAACAAAAAGCCAACAAAGGAAAGAAAGGAACTTTCATCAAATATTATAAAGTCAGTGATGCTATGGTTTAGATTGTAAATGTTACTCAAAAAGTACTCAGCGGGGTGGTGGTGGCACACACACACACACACACACACAGAGAGAGAGAGAGAGAGAGAGAGAGAGAGAGAGAGAGAGAGAGAGAGAGAGAGAGAGAGAGAGAGCGCTTGGTTTTATAAGGTTTGTGACTCCAGAGAGCCCTGGCTAATAGAGCGCTGGCGCTGGGCTTGAACCCAGGGCCTCCTAGGTGCTAGCTGAGTATTCTGCCACCACACTTCCTCCTAACCTTCATTCCGGGTTTTGATTCAATCTTTTTGTTTGCTTTTGGAGTTTCGTTTTGTTTTTGAGGCATGGTCTTTCGATGGGGCCCTAGCTGTCCTGGCACTCACTGTGCAGGCTAGGCTGACCTCGAACTCACAGAGCTTCACTTGACTCTGCCTCCGAGTTGAAGGCATGGACCCACCACTGCTGGGCTTAATTGACTTGAATTTTGTGTGTTCATTCCCTTCCCCAGTACAGGACGCTTTCATCCCCTCCTACAGAAAAAGCATTTCTCTGCTGGTCTTGCGGTACCTGTCTACTTTAGGGGTCCCCGCCCCTTTTATCAACAACGTCAGTACCTTGTTCATATTTTTTTAACATGTTACCTGAATGTTCTTAAGATTTTCGTGTTCTCTACATATTTCCATCACTGCGTATGTAAATGCCACGTTAAGCTGACTTGGGCTGTGTAAAGACCGGTAAAGAAAACAACTAAGACACAACTTTCCTAGAGACCGCGCGCAGACCACCGCGCATGCGTGTGTACTGCCCCCCCCCCCCCCAGGGTAACACGCAGGCGCGCCCAGGCTACACTCACGGGGAAGTGCGCCTGCGCCGACTGACGCCCCGCCCTGCCAGTCGCCCGCTATAAAACCTCGCGCCTTTCCTCGCGAGAAACGAGTGGCTCATGCTCGCTGCCGGGGTCGGAGGTCAGGGCGAGCGACTCCCGGGCCGAAGGAGGAAGATGGCGGTGGAATCGCGCGTTACCCAGGAGGAGATTAAGAAGGAGCCCGAGAAGCCGATAGACCGCGAGAAGGTGCGGGCGGCGGGCCGCTGCGGGGCTGAGGCAGGCGGGCGGACGGGCGGGCGGGCGCGGCCTGCCTGCGGGTGGGCGGGAAGGCCAAGTGGTGCGGCCCGGGGTTGACTCCCCGCCTCTCCCCAGACCTGCCCGCTCCTGCTGCGGGTCTTCACCACCAACAACGGCCGCCACCACCGCATGGACGAGTTCTCCCGCGGGAACGTGCCCTCGAGCGAGCTGCAGATCTACACCTGGTGAGCCGCGCGGGACTGGGGCCTGGCGGGCTGCGCCCCGGGGGGACCGGGCTCTCCCCAGGCAGGGACGCGGGCTTACCCGCCTCGGAAGGCTCTAGGGAGCGGCGAGGAAACGTTAGGGTGGAGCGGACGGACCGGCCCGGCTCCCGCCATATGGCTACCGGGTACAGAAACAACGTAGTTCGTTTAAAATGCCACGGCGAGATGGGAGACGATCGGGAGTTGGGTGCTGCGAGCTGTGCTCAGAGCGTTGACACCGACAAGCCTTAAGTATGGCAGCACCGGCAAACCCGAGTCCTTTCTGCTCTGGCACTCGGTGTGAAAACGTTTGGTGGTGGTTCAGTGAAGACGGCTGTGCACTCAGCTAGGACAGTACAAGCTTTGTGTCGGGTTAACATCGTAATGGCTTTTGGGAAGCAGTAAAAGCTAATTTTAATATATTTTTGTTCTCGCAAAATGTAACCGGAAATTTGCCTCTGTGACTTTTGAAAGCTGTGCTCCACTTTTAAAATCTTTAAACACACATCACAACTAGAAACTCTGCACCTGTTATGCAAACAGTAATTTCTTGTTACTGGTGGATCTGTGTTCGAGGCCAGCCTGGTCTACATGGTGAAGCCCACAGCCAGGGCTACCACAGAGACCCCATCTCAAACGCACACCCCCCAAAACAAAAGGTAGTGATTGAAGAAATATTCAGTAATGGCTTAATGTAAGCCACTTTCCAAATATTAAAATTCCGTATGTCTTCCCAACGACTAAGATTTTAAATTTGTCAGTACTTTCTTTACACCCTGAGTTTGTAACGAACTGCCTTTCTGCAGAGCGCAGCTTTTCAGAGGTCACCTCTCTGTATTGTTCGAGATTGTTCGAGAACCACATGGGTGTCAACAAAAAAGGAATGCAGTGTTTTTTTACTTGGAAGCTGTATGCATCCTTCAGTTTATCCTTAGGACTTTGGGTTGGTAATTCAGGCCCACTCAGACTCATAGAGCCTATTTAAGTTTTAGAAAGTTGCCTCCAAACAAAAGAAAATTAGTTATCCCACCTCATAGTTGACGCCAGTGTTCAAGTTCACTGGAGGCAAAATTTCAATTTTCAGAGTTAATTGAAGAATAGAATATGAATTCTGAGAAAGTAAAATTCAACTGCAAAATTCCATAAGGTCACAGTGAGAGTCTTTGCGTCTGAAGTTTTACAACTCTGACTACACAGTCTCTGTACAGCTCTTCTGAGAAAATAAGACTTTATGTGACGTACACCCAGCATGAACTACATATTTTTGTGTCATAGTTTCAGTATGCTATCTTTCAGTTTTTAATTTATTTTTACATATATGGGTGTTTTCCCTGCACGTATTTGTGTGCACCATATGAATGCCTGGTGTCCGTTGAACGTAGAAGTGGGGTAGGATCCCTGGAGTTACATGGGGTTGTAAGCTGCCCTGTTAGTGCTGGGAATTGGAACAAGGGCTTTGCAGAAGCATCAGGTGCTCTTAACTGCTGAGCCAGCTCTTAAGCACCCCCTCCCCAACCCTTGGCAGTGGTGTTGCCCACCTTTATTTAATCCCTGCACTTGAGAGGCAGAGGCAGGCAAATTGAGTTTGAGGCCAACCTGGTCTACAACTGACCAGGACAGCAGTGAGTTCTAGAACAGAACAGCCAGGGCTGTTACACAGAGAAACCCAAAGAAGAAAAAGGTTTTTTAGGTTCTGAAGAGAGAGCTGAGTGGATAATAAGTGCTCACGGGGCCAGAGTTCAGTTCCTGCACCTGTGTTGGGGAGCTTACAGCAGCCTCTAACCCCAGCTCTAGGGTCATCCAGTGCACTCCTCTGGCTCACACAGACATTAGGCACACACATGGTGCACATAACATATACAAGTAGAATACTCATAAAATGTTTTCCAAAATCCCTCTTGAATTCTGTATTTTAACGTGCAGAGAGGCCACAGTGATTATTTTTTTGATGGGTAAGAATTGTGCTATATTTCATTGCATTCTAGAAAGCAGTATGTATGCATTCTTGCAATGCATAAAATGGCCTTTGGTCTGGAACATTCTCATGGGAAAAGATAGGGGAGACCTTCTAATCTGTTTCTAGAAATATCATTCCCTGTTCTGGGCTTGTATACTTCTTTATTCCGCTTAAGTGTGTGTGCGCGTGCAAGCATGAGTGTGACCACCTCTGCTCTGTCTGTTCCCAGTGGGGAGGAAACAGGTGAACCATGTCTGTAGTGAGATAAGGATGCCAGCTTGGGGGAGCCTTTGCAGATCTAACTTTTATCTTTGTGAGCAAAGTATTTATAATAATCAAGTAATGTCTTTCGTGGTGACTGACACCTACAAGTCACTCATTAGCTTGATGACAGGCTGGGACTTAAAAGGTGCCAGGCATTGGCATCCTGTGCTGTACTGTATGTGGGAGACCCTCCCCTAGAGGTGACAACAGGTGGCACTCCACAGCTTTTATAGATTGGAGCTGAGGGTGTAGCTTAGTGGTAGGTTGCTTGTCTGTAAGAACTCAGCACAGCTGAACATGGAGGGTAATGGATTTTCATCTGTGTTTAAGAGCTAGAATGGAAAGGCTTAATTAGGGCAAGCTGGGGCAGCTAAATGAGTGGGTTATTTTAATCAGACTAGCAGAAAGGAGCCTATGGTTTGTCTTAAAGTTTCATGTCCTTGACTTTTTTTTTTTTCTTTCGAGACAGGGTTTCTCTGTGGCTTTGGAGCCTGTCCTGGAACTAGCTCTGTAGACCAGGCTGGTCTCGAACTCACAGAGATCCTCCTGCCTCTGCCTCCCGAGTGCTGGGATTAAAGGCGTGCGCCACCATCACCCGGCTATGTCCTTGACTTTAAAAAATCATTTTTTATTTTGTGTTGTGCAGTGTGCAGGTACTACAACATTTGTAGAAGTCTGAGGGCAACTTTTGGAATATCTTCTCTCCACATTTACTTGAGAATTCTGGGTATTGAACCCAGGACAGCAGGCTTGTGCAGCAAATGCCTTTACCTACTGAGCATCTCACTGGCAGATTTTCATTACACTTTTGCGTATATATGTGGCATATGGGGTGTCATGGTACGTGTGTGGAGGTCAGAGGGCAGGTTGTGGGAGTTACGTCTGTCTTTCCATGATGTGGGTTCCTTGGATCGAATTCAGGTCATCAGGCTTGGCAGCAAGCACCTTTACCTGCTAAGCTCCATCATTAGGATTCTATGAGAGAACAAGAAATTGCATATCCTATGAAGATGCTGTCCCTGCCCATTGATTCCTAAGATGCATTCCGATTTTAGGGGCTGTAATGTATGAGAGATTATTTATCTTAGAAATTAGACAGTTTGTGTAGTTGAATAACTTGGACTGGTTTTTCTTGTAGGTAAGTATATCACTGAGCCAGATATTGTTATGTAGCCTCAGAAGAGTTATGTGGGAATCTCTTTAATCTCTTGTAGCAAGATTAACTTATTGATGTTTTTAGCATTGAGGACAACACAGGATATATTCAGAGGCAAATTAATTTATTATTTAATGTGTGCTTGCTTATGCATATTGCACGAAATGCTTGAAGAGGTCAGAGGACAGCTGTGGAATTGGTTCTCTCCTGACCTTCACTTGGGTTGACACAGGTAGCAAGGACTGTGCAGCAAATTGCCTTTTCCATGCCAGCCATCATTGCGGTAAATCATAGTGCAAGAGCCCTGGAGTATGACTTGAGAATGTACTATGTGCTGGTTTTATGCCCTTGTTATACTAATGTTTATCAATCATCTTTTCAAAAAAATTAGGATGGATGCAACCCTGAAAGAACTGACTAGTTTAGTAAAGGAAGTCTACCCAGAAGCCAGAAAGAAGGGCACACACTTCAACTTTGCAATTGTTTTTATGGATCTTAAAAGACCTGGATATCGGTAGGTGACTTGTTACTTTAATTTCTGTAATCTCTGGACTTTGCAAGAATTTCCCCCTACCCCCATGTTCTCAGTCTGTCTCAGGCTCCAGTGTTGGAATTACATCATAAGTCGCCAGGCCTGGCTTTGGGATAATCTCCTTAGTGCCAGTGGTCGTGCCCATCAGTTTATATTCAGAGCTCAAGTGCTTACATTCTGGAAATTTGTTATGTATAGATCAGTCCCTGTTCTCTGTAGTCTGTACTGTTTGCTGATGCATTTCTAGTCTATTAACAGTTGACTTCCTTTCCAACAGAGTTAAGGAGATTGGCAGCACCATGTCTGGCAGGAAGGGCACTGATGACTCCATGACCCTGCAGTCACAGAAGTTCCAAATAGGGGATTATCTGGACATAGCCATCACTCCTCCAAACCGGGCCCCTCCTTCAGGACGGATGAGACCGTACTAAATTTTATTGACTTTCTTGAAGTTATTTTTCTTTCAGCCAGTTTGTAAAATAAACTTACTTCTTTTCCTCCCTTGAACCTTGCCATTAAGCCTTTAAATTTTAAGCAAATTGTAACACATTTATTTAGAAATTAGAGTTGGATGTACTTTGGTATATTAAAGAAAATGTATGTTTTAAACCCTTCTGTAAAATACGAAGAAAAGTGCTCTTAGAATTCTGTGTAAAACTATTGTGAAATACATGTGTGCAATTAGCCCATTTGTGAAAGTTAATGGTGATGTGGGAGCAATCTCAACTCATGGATTTTTATTAAGCAGCAGAGGGCATTTTAAGCCCTAAAGAGGCAGAACAAGAAAGCCATGGAGTTTGTATAAAATGGTGCAGTATGTTTGTGACCTTAGACTAGAGGCCTAAGACGAGTTGAAGAAGCTATCTTGTGTTGGAAAAGTTTGGCTCACTTAGGTGATGAGAGCTGGAGAGATGACTTTGGTTAAGAAAACATGTTGCTCTTGCAGAGGACCCAGGTCCTATTCCCAGCATCTTCGTGATGGCTCACATTCTGACTCCAGTCCTAGGGGATGAGAGCCCTTCTCTTGACCTCAGCATCAAGCATGCATGTAGTGGAGAGAGGAAATGACTCGGTCTAGGCTACAGTGAGCTACCTTCAAGAGCTGAGAGTGGAGGGAGAAAGGAAGCAGGTCCTGTGAAGTGCGGGAGAACTGCGACACCTAGTGCCTGCAGGGGAGCTGAGATGGCTGAGCAGGTGAGTCATGGACTAGGTGGCATTTGTTTCAGTACCAGGTGTGTTGATGTGCGTGCTGGCACGTGTGTGAAGGGCAAGTGAGGAGGGAGCTAGTTACTCACTGCCACAGAGCTGGGCTTGTCCTACTGCTTAGCTGTGCCAGGTACCATCTCAAAACCTCCACAGCTGAGGTGCAGTGATTGACTCCTGTCCACGGGTAAGGCTGTGCCTGCTTGAGTTCAAGGCAGGCATTTGGAATAACTGACCCTGCTTTATTGAATTCATACACAATTAGAAACTCCAATCTTAAAAATTCATGGTAGTTTCCACTTTCAAGGTGGTTAAGAGCAGAATGACTGCATGTTGGGTTTGTTGTTATAAACACTCGCCGATGGCTATGATTTCCTAGGGTTGGCAATGAAATAAACTTCTCATAATATTTATTCCATTGGGATTAATGTTGACCAGGTAACCATTCTCTGAAGCCTAAAAATCCCAGATTTTTTCCCCCCAAATAAGGAAATTCCTAGGGGCACTAAGCTAAAACCTAAGATCAAAATAAAATGACATTTATCTGGAGGAAGGGGAGCGTGGACTAGGACAACGTTGGGAGCTGGTTCTCTGCTTCCACCGTTGAGTCCCAAGGTTGTCACTCGGGGCAGCAGGCAACTTTACCCACCGAGCCATTTCACTAGCCCAAAATGCATCTTAATTTCGTTATTTTATGTATATGGGTGTTTGCCTACAAATATGTGCACCACATGTATGAATGCTCCTCTCAGAGGTCGGGGTTGTGTCAATTGTGGACAACTGGTTGTGAGTCTGCATGTGGATGCCAGGAACCAAGAGGGGTTCTCTGTAAAAGCAACAAGTTCTCTCTCTGACCCTTGGTTTTGTGACAGGGTCTCACTGTGTAGACCAGACTGGCCTAGAATTTGGAGAAATGACCTGCCTCTGCTTTCTACACCGGGTCAAAGGCATGTGGGACCACACCTAGTACAAAGAGCATCTTTAATACCAAATACTTCAGTCACTTTAGCAATTCACCTGGAAAGGTCCTGTGGTGATACTTTTTGGTTTCTCATGGATCCACCTGCCTCTGCCTCCCAAGTGCTGTGATTAAAGGGGTGTGCCACTATCCAGCATGCGCAACCCAGGGCTTGGCACACAGCTGTTGGTTGTTTCCAAAGGGGGAAGGACCGCCCGTCCCTCTGCTCTGCACTGTAGGTTGCTGAGATGTCCTAAACCCTGTTCAGCAGCTTTTCACCACTTCCAAGGAAACTTCATGTACAGCAACTAAATTAAATAAAAACCGTTTTTAAGATGGTGTCTCTACTGTAGTCTTGCAACTCTCTAGTTAAGGATGACCTTGAACACCCGACTGTCCTGCTATTGGTTGTTCCCAACTAAAATAATTTGAATGAACGAGGGGAACTTTCAGATAGTAACTAGGAAAAAAAACTTGCTGTTTCTGATTTGCTCCACTCAAGTTTTCCAGCAGTGACAACAGGTGACTTAAATACAAAGAGACAGATCCTTAAAAAATGGAAGGAAGAAAAAAGAATGTCATGAAAAAGATAATTGCTCAAAGTGCGTGGTACAATTCTGGAGATTGTGTGAGCTTCTCCATCTCCAAGGGCCACAGCGCACAATGTTTTTGTGGTGCTAGGATTCCAATGCAAGGTCCTTCATGTTAGGCAGGCACTGCCACTGAGTTACACCCCAGGCTTTCACCCGTAGTCAAGAGTTGAAGGTAAGGAAGTAGACATGTCAGAGTACATAACCTAGGTACGTAACTGAGAACATCCCAGATTTTAGAGATTGGAGTTTTGCAAACAGTATAAAACAGGATATGAGGAAAATGCCTGTTTCCTCATCTGAAACGCCATTTAACCTAACTTATGTAAGAATTATATAGAATTATGAACATAGCATTTAGAGTCGAAACTGACAATAAGTTAACAAGCAAGGATTCAGCGAGTAGCTCATGTGGAGATGAACATGAGTTTATACTTGCATATACAGAACAAGTTCTCCTTAGTGTGACAGATAATGCACCACCAGCTGGGCTGGGATCTGGGACCAGTCCTCCACTACTCTGCATTGTGTACAATCACAAACTCCAAGTAGCGTAGCACACAGGTTTATGACCATTTATATGGGAAGTCCAGGTAGACTCACCCTAGATGGCTCCAGGTGTGCCTCTGCACATTCCACCTAGCACTGGGTCAGAGATTGCAATGCTACTTGGTTGAGCTGTAAGTTCTTTTTCGATTTTTGTTTTTTCAAGACAGGGTTGGTTTCCTGTGTTATCTCTGGTTGTCCTGGAACTCACTTTGTAGACCAGACTGGCCTTGAACTTACTGAGAGAGCTCCACCTGTCTGCCTCCTGAGTGCTGGGATTGAAGGCATGTGCCACCACTGCCTGGCAATCCATTAAGTGTAGAGAAAGGCAAACAATAACTGTCAGCTGCTGGAAGACTGAAAAGAATGAAGCAGAGTAGGCAGAAAAAAAATTCTAGGCAGAACAGCCAATTTGTAAGACCCAAGGCAGGAAGCTGAAGACTGGTGTGGCTAAGCCACACATTGCAGGGAGCAGTCACCTATGCCATAGTAAAGACCTTGGCTCTCATTTAAAGAATAGTGGAAAACACCCTGGGAAGACCATAGCATATATAGCTTGGTGAGCTGGAAGCACCACTCTAAGTGACAAGCTACGGATAGTAGGGAAGTGCTGAGGGTGAGGCTCAGGGAAACAAAATTTGTACAATCTGAGGATCCAAGATCAAAACGAGCAGAGCCCAAGCCCAAGCCCACCACTAACCTTGAAAAGAGCCTATTTTGTCTTTCCCTTCTAGTCCTATCCATTTAGTAGCTGTCTTTAGCAAAATTCCAAAGAGCTGCCTAACCTGCTCTCTATACCCTCCCCTCTGCTCTTCTTCAGTCAGTTCCAAACTTCATGTCTAAAATTGGTTGACATCAACTTTGGCAGCACTGAAAGAAATGAATGCACGGCTTAAAACACTCCTTCCTGCGTCACCAGCCTCTTCCCCACCTCTGTACAACACTCCCCTCTTCCTGCTTCTTTAAATATTAGATTTACTCAACATATTTTATGTGTGTTTTGCTTACATGTAGTATGTGTACCACATCTGTGTGTGCTTGGTGCCCTGGAAGTCAGAAGAGGGCACTGGGGTTAGGGATGGCTGTGAACTACCACTCAGGTACCTGGAATCAGATGGGGTCCTCTGCAGGAGAAACAGCAAATAGCACTCTAAGGGCAGAGGGAGCCTTGTCCCCAGTGTTCTTCAGCTCTTCACTCCTCCTGCAGTCCCAGCCAGTAGTGTAAGGCAAATGCCATGGTATGAAAAGGTGGGCTAGAGTTGACTTTGAAAATTATTTATTTTAGCTGGGCGGTGGTGGCGCACGCCTTTATTCCCAGCACTCGGGAGGCAGAAGCAGGAGGATCTCTCTGAGTTCGAGGCCAGCCTGGTCTACAAGAGCTAGTTCCAGGACAAGAACCAAAAGCTACGGAGAAACCCTGTCTCGGGGGGAGGAAAAAAAAA